TTCAAGCCTACCTTTCCCCAAGGTATAAGAGTAAACTCATGATTCTGACTCCATTTTCTTATACAAACTCTTAAAATCTGCTTCGACTAGGTGTTACAATTCTATTGTCGTGGGAACAACCTTGTGAAGATTCGCAACTCTGTAGTTCGATATGCATTCTGCAGAAGTTTTCTCAACTAAATCGCTCGTAAACGGTCGAATATGTTGGCCCCCAAATTTTCATTGAGCCGGGAGACTCTTCGTATTTTAACAGAGCTCAAAAGCTCAATACGCCATTTTTAAAAAACCCAATTTTAGGAAGGAAGAGCACGAAAGATACAAGTCCCTGTAACTGCACAATTTGGCCGCCATGTTCCTTGTTTTCACGTCTCCTTTGGCTTTCTGGGATAGTAAAGTACCAGGCCTTTCTCTGGCGGGGTTTTACGAAAATAAAAAGTTTCGTTTTCACTTCACTTCCACTGCGCCATATTGAATTGTCTGTAATACGATATGCCGCTGACATTTCGTAACGCGCTCAATGTCCCCGATTTCTAGTGATGAGTTTTATGTTCCCCGCCCTCTCTTTTTCTCATTTCATAGAAGTACAAGTGAATAGTGATCAAAAGGAGTTCTATGGAAATTGGTTGCCTCTGACTGTTGTTATTTCTGAGTCAGACGTTTCTGCTAATGCTTAAGCCTTCATCGGTGATGTGAAAAAACGAAGATCCCTATTATACGCTATTTAAAGTTAAAAACGTGACGCGAAGCTTGCGCGCGTAACTATGTATATGATAACAACAAACATATGAAACATATGTGTGAACTGCGGTTATGAGATGTATATGAGCACGATCCTTCGCAGTAAAGCACTATTTGAGCAATAGTGACAATCAGACCTGAAAAAAAACATGGGTTTTAATTTAGTATTTCCTCTTTAAGTGACCGTTCAATACAGAATTTCGGGGCTTTGACCACTGATTGCTTAATACAGGGTGACCGCTGAATACAGTGCCGCTTAAAACATGTTCACCTGTAGTTAAAATTTCGGATCAGCTCAAATTTGGCTAGCATTATAAGCAAGATCATGGTTACGAGATGATATTATCTTTTTGACGAGTGGGAGTGCCGTACGGGAAAATATTTGACTCAAGGTCATTACGTACGGACTGCAAGTGCAGCCACGTGGGTGCGTCATTGCTTTGCAAGAGTCATATGTTTTCCTGTCCAGCCCGACCGAAATCAGTCAATAAGTAATTTGTCATATGACCACTGAACCTTGGAAATTTATAATCTAGTAGGTTTACCTAAACAGGAACATAGTGAAACTAAACTAAGTCATTAGTTAAAATTTCTGATCAGCTCGAATTTGGTTGGCATTATAAACAAGATCACGGTTACAAGATTTACCCTTCTTGAGGAGTGGGAGGGCCGTACGGGAAAATATTTAGACTGAGATTATGACGTACAGACTTAGTGCAGCAACTTACGTGCGTAAATATCATGCAAGAGTTGTGCTTTCCCGTCCAGCCCGACCCAACTTAGTCAATAAGTAATTTGTCATATAACCACTAAGTCTTGGAAATTTTTAATCGATTATGTCTACCTAAACACAGTATAGTTAAACTGTGTAAATGGCAAGACTGGAATTACACGACATGCTGCAGGGAGGCCAATACAGTTTCTTGGTGAGATAAAGAACAGACCTCTCTTCTATCCTGTCCTTTACAGTTTTTTGAATTTCCCTCATCCTCCAGCAGTAGGATGGATTTAGAGTAGAGTTCGACACACGCTTTTAAGATAGAATCAGACTTCATTGTCCATGACATGACACGCAATATTTTATGATTATTTTGCTTGCCTAAATATGAATGAACTGGATAAAATAATTGTATATGCTTACAATTTGGAGTAACGATCTGAATCGTAAAAAAGAAAACAAGCGCAAAAATGTTGACTCACATTTTTAAAGCGTTTCAAAGGCGGCTTACATCCATGAAGAAAATCTTGAACAGAACAATGAAATTAATTATGTCACCTAAACTCGGCGACTGTGCATCTGCTGAAAATATTTAAGTCCCTTCTGCAGAATTTCAATATCCGCACTCTTCACTCTTCACAGTACTACCATACCAATTCACATTACCTTTACTAACACCGTTAACATTGTTTGCTATCCTTATTTATGCTTCATTAAATATTTTTCCTAAAAGCTCTCATTTTTCCTCGAGCATCGCTCTTGGAAAAACTGTTCCCATCCTGGAAAAGATAATGTCCGCGGACAAATATCCGTGCATCATGATTTTCGCACGGATATAGTGTGATAAGACTGCTCTATTGTCCTATAGGAGATTAGAACAATATATACTAGAACAATGCGTCTATCTTATTAGTTAATTTACTTCAATGATTACATTTCTTGTTAAGCACTAGAGTTAAGTAATGTCCACCTCTGTTTCAATTATTTCTCACGATTTCATGTGGTAGCGGGTTTTTTTTATTTTTTTTTTCAGTTTCGACATTCTCTTACACTAATGGGACAAAGTCATTACATTCGTGCCTGAGATTCTTTTTAGTGATCTGTCGTGAGGAAAATATTTACACATAGTGTTATAAACTAATGACCGTTTTTGTGAAAACGGTCCGTATGGCAAAATCCCGACCGAGAGAGTCGGCTCCCCTCCGAGGAGGTGTGCCCTAACTTGTTTTTATTCCATTCACAAAATAAGGCAATCGACAAGTAAATATTGTGTAGACATATGCACTTCGAAATATAAGGTTCTCACTTCAACTATTGCCAAATAAGATAAGAGAGAACTATGACAAATTCGGTTGATTTTAAAGATCCGAGACCTTAATAGTGGGTGAAAACGCTAAGTCCAATGAGGTATCATTTTCATCTGTCTACAAACACTTTAATACTTTCTCACTTTTTCACCGATTGAGTCATTACCTGGGAAAACTTGTTAATGATTGTTGACACTTTGTCGTCAAAGCGATGCCTACTAGTATAATAAGTACCATAAGTATCAGAATAATCCAAGAACCTGCCCCTACGTCTCTTTGGACAAGTTCTTGTAGCGATACGTTCCAGTATATATCGACATTTATGACATTCCTTGAAACGATCAACAAGATTAGTAGCTGGTTTTTCATCACTGTAATGAATAGGGCACAATTCCGCCAAGCCCTTGTTTGCTTCACCCCACAACCACATACAACACTCTGCCAAGCCAATGAATTGAGGATAGACCTCCTTCAGTAATCCTTCCAAAAACTCAATTCTTTGCGTTAAGAAATGCTGCAGTTTATCCCTGTCAATATTTTGAAACTGAACAGTATCAGAAAGAGTCTCAAGGCTCATTCCCTTCAGCACATCGTTGCAGTCTTGGCGTACTTTCTCTAAATTGAACAACTCGGCAAGCGAAAGAATCCTCATCACATTTTCTTTGGTTTTTGGCTCCTCGTCGAGGAACTTGACACAGGGTTTGAAAATCGGTTCTGTTACTTGATACTCGTCACTCAAGTGCAGAAGATGTTCCACATTTCCCACTAGGAACAAAAAGCATCGTTAAAAATAGCGTTAATCAATCAAAGGAAATGATGAACTTTGTGGCAAACTACTGTCTATGAACTGCCGGAATAGAGATCATAACAGTGCTGAAAACGTAATTATACATCATGCTGGAGGTTACAATGACTCCTTCCACTGCAATTACGACCTCAATTCATGCAAGTCATACCAGAGAAAGAACACATCTGGAAATTTCAAAAATACTTATACCGCTAAAAAGTTCGCTTTGCTTATTCACAGCATGAGAGCATTATTTCAGTTATTCCTGGAATTTCTCGTAACAAAATAGTTTCACTCAGAATATAGCATCGAAACTGTTTTGACGGCTTTCTTGAATTTTACTCCACCTTTTTTTTCACTCTCTCTTTTTCCTGCTCGTAGTACCGGTTGACACTGAAAATTGTAAGCAATGCCAAGAAGTATGTAGGCTCGTAATGATTGGCCAGATTTATTGGCTACTTGTGCCTAAGAAACTATGCACCCACCCACTGCTGGTTAAACTCATCAGTTTATAAGTATTCGTTAGCATATTTGTTATTCTTCAAAAAACTTACTTGTGATATGCACTTCCGTTTTGGTGTAATGGGGTCCGTACACTTTTAACAGAAAGTCCAACACTTCATTGGGTTTCTTTCCAGGCAGCGGAATCTCGTTAGCAGTTGCCTCTTTAAACTGAGATTTGAACATGGCCTCGAACACTGGCGAGTTCAAGCTTAATATCTGACGATGGACATGGAACTTCTCATTTTCCACAACAAGGATCACATCACTGTCTACCCATGGTTCAGAGAAACAATGCCTCACTTTCTCTTTTTCTTGTGCGTCTTGAACTGTTACATCAAAGGAGACCGAGTTGCACGCTGATTAAATTAAGTTATGCACATGACTCAGTAGATTGTTATGGGTGCCAAAAACGAATAAAACACGGAATAGCACATATAGTTAGTTTGTCCAAGAACTTAAATTTTGCGTCCAATAAGTTCCTCGATAGGTCACTACATGCTGTAGGCGCATACGAAGTGAAATGAAACACCAGAGCCATTTTAACATACTTGCATATTTACGGAGGCTCGTTTTGCGAGCTTGGGCTTATTGTGGTTAACTAGGCTTAAAAGGTGAATGGAACTTTGATTCAATTGGTGATAGACACTGACTACCAGTCCATAGACTACCCCGATGAATTATCCAAATGGACTACACATAAAACCAAGAAAAGCCCATAAAACTAATAGGTGAAATTTCCAACATCCCATCACGTTTTTGTCTGAATGTGTGCAACAAAGCAGAACAAATTAGGCACTGGCTTTCGAAGATAAGAGCGATCCCGTACGCCACAAGATTACAAATGGCAATATCACACATATTTTATATCTAGATTACTTTATCCACTAGTTCGCCATAGGTATTCCTTGATTAATATTACAGACACTAGGACTACTTTGTTATTGCATTGACATTTCGCAAGTTTTGTGCTAATTAGATAATGGTTCTTGTAAGCTTTCTTACGAGAGCGTGATCATGTAAGCGACCAGCGCCACTTACAACCAATTTTTTCGAATTCTCAAGGGTGTTCGCTTACGAGAGCTTCGACTGTAGTCCATTTTGTTAGTCCATTGGGATAATCTAGGGACTCTGAGTCACTATTTTGTCCATCACCGATACGATCCCCGTTGTTTTAGACGGTTACGCATGAAAAATTAATATCATGATAAGTTCAAAAAGGGAATAAAACTTGAGAAAGCTGGTGTTAGTGTTACATGTGCTGGTTTAATTCCAGTTTATTTTTAATTTTGTAAAACTTACCAGTTACTTCATCAACTGCACTATTCTCCACCTTACACTCTGTTTCCTCAGTAACGGAACTTGCCATCTTGGACGAATTTTATCACGAGTGAAACAGAAAACTATAGATTATCAATTATCGTTAAACGCCGTTGCCTAGTTCCTCCAGTAAGAGAAAATAAAATTAGGCAAATATATCCTTCAATCAGACGAAGCTCTTGGCGAATGTGGAAGCCAATACACGCTGATAATTCTCAGAAACTTGGATACCTGTTTCCGAGAATTTATGCTCTGCTGCCTTCCCAAATCCTGCCTATGTAAGCTGTTACGGGCCTGGGGCCCAATTTTCGAAAGTTCTAGTAAAGTTGAGGACCCAAAGCCATCATTTTCAAACAAGCCTAAACAATGGAATGCTCGCTCTGGTCTTGACTCAAAACCACTTTTCTTTTAGTCCTAGCATTTTCCTTGCTTAAATTTGAAAACTCTTTTTAACTACCTCGATCTTATTGCATATAAACGCGACAAAGAAACAAAACTTCTTGGACTCGTTAACTTTCGGAATATTAGATAAATGGACTCGGGCCGATGATGATGTGATTTCACCCGTTCAAGTGCTTCGAACATTTTAGAATGAATTTAAAGTATTCTTGCGCACTGTAGGAATTGCGAACGATTCTGATATTAATATCCATAATGAAGAGGAAATTCCCTAAGACTGTTATGGATAGGGGAAGACTTACAGCTATTTAACAATTATTCCACGAGCGCGCGTTGGATATGAGATGATAGATAGCCAACGAGGCGCGTAGCGCCGAGTTGGCTATAATCATGTCATATCCAACAAGAGCGAGTGGAATAATTGTTTTATTAAAAACGTTAAATCAAGTTATTAAATTTTGCTAAATTTTTAGCTCCCTTTTAATTTTAAGCTGACACGTACGCTTGCCATATTTGTAGATTATGGTATATTGGCTGATGTACCATAATGGCTAAGCCAATAAAAAGTCTTGAATTGCATTATCCAATGATCTAGTTTTTAATAAAAATGAATATCTTCTGAGCAGTACAGAAAAATTCTTGGCTTGTTGTCGTATGATTTCCGTCCTCTGTTAAATTCGCCATGATTACCTTCAGGCTTTTTCTTTATTCGCCATTCAAGTTCTAGAGTTGTACTTTTGGTTGATTAATAGCAGTCAGTTTCTATATCCTTAAAGTTTATTCTTCTCCGAAATAGAGAGTAGTCTTTAAATCGAGAAAATCATATCATATGAATTAAAAATATGATGTGAAGGAAATATATTCCGCTAAATCATTTAGCAGCGAAATCATCAGTTTAAATGATATTGATATTTTCGCTGCTTTACTTCTGTCTGATTACGGCCAACAATCCGATTGCACTGTCTGGTTACAACTCTACAGAATGATTAGTGAAAAATATAGCAGCTTATGCACCAATCACATTTGAGGAGATTATAACGGTTATGATTATGTTCATAACTACATGATGGTATCATGCAACTCAAAGTGAATGGTCAGATCGACCTTACAGTGGACAGTTCGACCCCAAATTACCTGCGGTGGACTGACGTGACATCATGTTGAAGTCACGACGCTTCAAAGTTTCCTTATTAGGAAAACAAAAAAACTCCTTATCGTGTCTCACGACGAAGAAAATTTCCAGAGTAGTAGCAACCCTTTGAGTGCTCTGGAGACGTCAAGTAACTACTTTAAAGAGGATGCAAATTAAAGCCCAAGCCCAAATCTGTGTAAGCAAGACAAATGAGCCCAAGTTTCGATGGCGGATGGAGGCACGACACCTTACGAAGAGTGAAGATGAACGGAAAACTCCCTATTATTGTAAGAATGGATAGAGGAGGTCCTAAAGTAAAAAGAAATATCTTCTGAGCAGCTCTGAGACCTAAACATTAAACACGATATAAAATGGTCAATTAATCGCGGGCTGCTATGTCTTTAAAACTGTTTTCCATCCCTTCAGTTTGCGGTAAAGAGTTTCTTAGGGTGGAAAATTAATGAAAATGATAAAGACAGCATAAATGCCTTTTTTTTCCATGGATGGGAAACTACACATATTTAAGTACCCAAATGAGATCGTTTTCTAAATTCTCCGCTCGTTTTGAACCCAGCTACGGCGGAATCGAAATAAACTACCCTTTACATGTCTTAAATAATTTAACAACACCTGTAAACAATTGCCAGGATATTAAGTCCAGTTCATTCTGATGATGGAGACAAATCGGTTATCAGAGCCGAAGTTATTTCAATTTCAATTTCTTCGATGGAACTTTATCAACCATTGTAACTGTAAACATTTATAAAATGTTTGATTAGTAACGAGAATCATGAGCGGTTTAAACAGCCTGAAATTACTGATTTGGAAGTGCAGCAGGTGCAAGGAGCTAAACATTCAGTTCTAAACAATAAACCATTCAAAAATAATTCTGAAATGGACCAAAGTTTTTCCTTCTTTTACGAGGCTTTCTAAATTTCATAAGAATGGAATATTTGATGGACATTAGTTATTTAGTGGATAAATTCAACACAAGCAATAGTTTGATTTCCCGTAATTCCCTCCCATGTGAACCTCTCCTTCCGTGTTACAAAAGGTTTTACTAGTAAATGATTTCAAAAGAAGTCTTCAATTAATAAAAAAGGAAATATGAATACGCTACTCAAGTTCCCAGCTCAAATGCCAAAGTCAGCGATTTAGACCAAGAATATAAGGAGGCGACTCCTTGCATTTCTCATTTTTCGGTGTTCGAAGGCAAATCAAGAGGGGTTACTTTTGATGACATCCTGGCGTCACATAAGAACCAATGTGTCTCAGGCATTGTTTTGCTTAACCATTGAAAAAGATAGTGTATTGGTCTTTCCGATTAAAACACTGCATGCTTCATTTAAGCGAGAGGCCAAATTATAAATGAATTGAAACCTCCAGCTTAGAACTGCAGAGTAACGACAAACGAAATTATATCTACGTGGCTTAATGTCTCGGTGCCGCATGCTTTTACGAGAGTACCAGACCTGAGGGTCCATTACGTGACACGCAATGATTATTTTGTTTGTCTGAGTAAGCGTTAACACAAAGATTTTATATAAATGAACTGGATAAAATAATTGTATAATTTCTGGGTGCTGAATCGTCAAAACTGTTTCCCCTCCCTTATTCTTGGTAAAGGACCCGTAAAGGGCTTCTTAAGTCCGCCAGTTAACGATAAAGGTTGTTTTCCTCTACTATATGGGAAACTATTGGTATCTAAGTACCACAAAGATGGTTCTGCAAAGTCTCTGTGTTAAGGATAAGTTGAGAAAACGGACACCACCCCTCCCCTTCCCATGTAAACGTATTTGTCACGAGTTGCCATGGCAAAAAGAATAAATAAACGCACGAGGTTCGTTTTGGTCCGCCTATTGCTTGTATGTTTGCTTTCAATGTAAATGATTTCGACCTCTCCTTCCGTGGCCGGTAACATTTGGGGGCCTGTCCGGAAGTTAACTATACGTAAAAGTCGAAGCAACATTTTTGCGAAATGGTCGGCGGATTGGCGTGAAAGAAGTTGCAGGGCGAAAGTAAATCGATCGAAAGAAACAAGCCCCAGTAGGAACATAAAGAATGGAAATTGAGGATGTCCAGATGCAGATACAGAGTTATCTCTGCCAGTTAGGAGTTAAGGACCTGGAGGAGATCGCTAAAACTCTGGGATGCAGTGATGAGGTCACGAAGGAAAAGAACAGAAAGGGACTTGTAAGGTTGATCGAAGAACAGCTCGAGGGCACATTGAAAGGCAGAAAGGCAGCTAAAATGAAACACCTAGAGGAATTTAAGTTACAAATAATGGAATATACGCCTGTTCGCCCTCCTTTGGAAGTAGTTGACGAGAAAGCGAAGCCTGGAATTTCTCAACCGCTGCTTGGAGAGAGTAAGCCTAAACTTGAAGATATAAAACCATTGTATTTTCAACCGAATGATTTCAAGAGAGAGTTGAAAATTATCGGTCAGATTGGGGAGCCGGGGCAAAAGGACAAACTGAGTTTTGTCAGCTTAATGAGACAAACTGAGGGTGCTTTGCAAAAGGGCTACAAGCCCTTAGAAGTAGTGGACGCCGTAGTCAGGTCTATTAACCCTGGGATGAGATTAAGAAGTTATTTAGAAGGTCTGGAAAGTTTGACTCTTCCTCGTTTAAGACGTATACTGAGATCCCACTATCAGAAAAAGAGTGCTACTGAACTTTATCGTCAGCTCTCTACATTAGTTCAATAGCCCCAGGAGGGTTCTCAGAGTTTCCTCATCAGGGCCCTAGATACCAGGCAGAAGATCCTGTTTGCTTCAAAGGAGGCAGACACACAATTAAAGTATGACCCAGCATTGGTCCAGGGTATGTTTCTCCACGCAGTGGACACTGGTCTTCAGGATGAAGCCATCCGGACCAGATTGAGGCCATCCCTCCAAAACCCAAATGTACAGGATGAAGATCTTATTCAGCAAATGAACGAAATTGTTTTGGAAGAAACTGAGAGAAAGTCAAAATTACGATCTTCTACTCGCCATAAGAATCCAAAAGTTAATGAAGTGCATGCATCACAGACAGGGGAAGGGGCTGTCCAGTCTGCAACATCTGATAAGAAGTTAAAACGCACCGAGACGGGCAATGCTAAGGAAGATGATTTTATGGCTGCACTACAGGCAGTCCATTCTTAACATGCCACCTTGAAAGAGTCTATTGAGAAGAATCAAGCTAAAGACGAACGATTGACCAGTACCCCACCAGGATCTCAGAACCATCAATGGTACCGTCGACCCCTAGGCTGTCCTAGTTGTCAAGCAAAAGGTAGAGGGGAGTCGTGCGACCATTGTCACATCTGTGGTAGTGGTGATCATTGGGCTTGTGGTTGTCGGAAGAAGAATAATGGAGGCGATAAAACAGGTTCGGGAAACAGGCGTGGGCTACAACCACGGGACAGGAAGTAGCCCACTCTTATGAAAACTCTAAGTCCCAGAAATGCGTTTGTTGTCAAAGAAGTACGGCGAAGGATTAAGTTTTCAAGCACTCTTCAGGGTGCAAAGTGGTTCGGTATTGTGGACAGAGATGCCAGAAACTTCACTGGAGCAGTCACAAGAGACTTTGTCAGGCGATTGAACATCTAGAAACAAAGAAACGCTTGCGAGTGGAACGTGGAGATGGTTATGTATTTGCCAGCCATTTAACACCCCAGCAACATGTAGCAGTAGCTAACCTTGTGGGCAAAAAGTGCAAGGTTTCGTGTGTGTTGAATG